TTTCCTTGGTGGATTTTAAACATTCTCTTAAATTAACTTTGATTACAGTTGGCCATTAAAAGTGCTGACAGTCCTTAAGGTGTCCATTTCAATCCTTCCTTTCACTTTACACAACTCTTCAATTAAAAGCTCTCAGTATCAAGATATCTCATATACTAGCACTAGTAATATGCATTATAAACCCCAGAATATAACTTTATAACCACAGATTGTAGTACTTCTATAACCGAGAGTTTATCATGATTTTTCTGTTACACAAATTAAACAAAAAATTCAGTCATATATTTTATTTCTTTATATCAGTCATTTTCTAAGTCCATGAGAGAACTCAAATCTTCCCCAATACCCATTAGACATGGAGAGTAATAGGCCTCATCTTGCTATGCTAACCTAGACTGGCTGCCCTGCTATTTTATTCATAGCTATGGGGAAAAGGGGATTCATGCCTTTTCCAAGGGCATCAGTACAAAATGAACACAAGAGTCACAGGCAGAATTTGAACTTTGCCTGCCAATTCCATTTTCTAGGCTCTTAAGCCACCCACACATTTACTTTGCTGTATGGAGCTTATATCTTCTATGTGCCACATCCCTTCAGGACATCATGGCTTTTCACAGTTTCCCTTGTTGCCCTTAGCAGTTTTTCTCTCTTTGCTAAAAAACACCCCCACCCATTCTGCCATTCATTCACACAAGCTTGTCAGGTCAGCTCACTGTCTTCCCATATTTTTATTGCCCCCAATATGCCCCATGAGGGTTAAGTTTTCCAGGCCCACCTTCCTCATGCATCCAAGAAATTTCAGCTGTTTTGTCTTGATTCTGAGTATGTGTTCTTTTGATAGTTTCCTTGCTGCTTACTCACTCCATCCATAGAATTTTCAGCACCCTTTTGTAGTAACCACATTTCTGCTGCTTCTAGTTTTTTTCTCATCTGTGAGGAAATTGTCCAACATTCACTGCCATAGACGAGAATGGATATTGCATAACAATCCAACACTTTCTTTATTTCTAATGAAATTTTTCCGTTTCTCAATACTTTAGTTAGATTTTGGAATGTTTCTTTCACTAGTAAAATACATGTTAAGATCTTGGAGTCAAATTTTCCATCCTCTGTTAAAACACTTCCCAGATATTTAAACTTCTGCAGCAGCTTGATGTTGACATCTGCAATTTATAACTTGCAGCTTTGGCTTTTTTGAATTAAAGATGTTAAAACAAGATTACCTTTGCAAAATTTAAAAAAAAACAAAATAAACAAAAACCAACACTGATTAATCTTGTGTCTTAAAATTTTGAAGAGTTAACTCATTCTCCAAGTTGTAAAAATATAACAAGATGACAGGAAGCCTCTATTGCACAACTTAGAATAACACATTAATACTTTTTTTCATACATATTTAAGGATTTGAATGTTTAGTTTATTTTTTTTTTTTTATAAAGGAAATACTTTTATAATGTAAAATATTTGAGTATTTTAATAATTTTTAATAATCTCAAAAATAATAAAAAAATAAAATTGTCAAAATTTAAATTAGGCATATTGGCAATATAAAATAAGTAAAAAAGAATTTAAAATATTTTTTTAAAATATATATCTAGAATTTGATGAGTTCTTCGGTTTGTGTGCCTATCAACAAGTAGTTTTTATAGAGTCGGATAGCAAACTCTCCTTGCTCTTTTTTGCTATCTTCACTTATAGCAGAAAGGAAGCACTGTTTACAATTAGTTTTCATTCTCTTAGATTAGTTGACAACCAAGGCTACAAAGCCTAGTCTTCACTGTTATTTGACCCATAGCTGGAAGGAATGATGCACTCATACTTTTCCAAAGGGTATCAGTACAACATAAACATTGTCTCACCTGAAATTCTAATTTGCCAATTACATCCTCTGTACTGTTAACAAGTGAGCTAGGTAACCAATACCTCCCAAAATATTGTATACTTGAATTAAAAACCTAACAATTTTTTTTAATGAAATTCTGTACATTATGAAAGATATTTATATAGTTTTGATCAACATTTTAAAAAATTCATTAACAATTATTTTGATTTATCATATTCAAAGATACCTCAGCATGGAGTAAAGGTTAACAAGGCTAGTCTGGTTGACTGCTGAATAATCCATACTATATGCCCGGCACAAGATTCTTTTTTTTTCTTTTTTTAATGGCATATCAACTACTTATATGTCATTTAATACTGAAATTTAATTTTCATGGGAGCTTTGAAGTAATAAAAATATGATACATTATTTTGCTTTCACACTGGAATACATGGTAGATGATACTCAGCTTCTGTGTATATAGAGTGTGTGTGTGCAGATATAATTACTAAAACTGACATGTGACTTTGATGTTGTAATTGAAGTTATATTTTGGAATACAGTTTGATTTAACAAATTGTAGGATATTTTATGGATTAATGTCAAGAAAGAATTTTTTCATGTTGATTGTTTGATTTTGTTTAGTGGCATATCAATGTCTATGAGTTATTTAATATCAAAATCTAAATATTTTGAATGCAATTGCATGCAGTCAACTATGGATAAAATATATTGTTGGTCATTTTGCTATAAAATGTATTGTTGGTAATTATATAAAAAATGTATTGCTGGTCATTTTACTATAAAAATGTATTTTTCTACTTTCATAGGATTCCATTTTTGTTTAGGAGTTCACTATTTGCCCATAGCTGGGACCCTAACAGGTGCTACCACACCATATCAGGATGAACATGGAAACAGACAATTAAGTGGTGGTTCCCTGCTCTTAAAACCTCCAATCTCCCAATCAAAAGGCCTTGCTGCTGCAGGATGTACAAAAAGAGTTGGCATGTCAACCAATTAACCAATAATATCATATTCATGGTTTTAATATTTTTCTTAATGATCTTATGCAGAGTCTATTTTTTTAAAAAAAAAAAAAAAAAGGTATAAGATTATTAAAAACAACTATATTAAAATTACACAACTAAACATCACCGAAATGTTCTACAGATAAAAGAAACCTTTTTAAATAAAAATAGAATTACAAAGAATAATATTGTTGTTGTTATGGACTTGTGAATATTTTTATAAGTTTATTTACAGGAATATTTATTTTGCATATTTCTGTTATATATCTTCTTCTATGTGCTGCCTCCCTTCAGAACATAGGCAATTATGGCTCTCCACAACATCCTATGTCGTATGACTCTTAACTTTGTTATATCATAAATATTATTTAAAAAAAAAAAAAACACTTTTTTAATTTGTTTTTCCTCCATCTTTCAATAAGGATTCTTTTTACTTAGAAGAAGAGTAACTGTTATTTCTAATGGAGAGGTACTTGAACTTGACAGACAATATCCTGGAGAGAATATACCAGGATTTTTTTTTTAATTTTTATTTAAAAAGATATCGGGACAATTCAAGGAAAAAAATCTTAATACAAACAGATTTTGAAATATATCCCATAAAATTATTGAAGAGGCCTTACAAGAATTTGCTACTTAAAACATTGTTTTTAAATAGTTTTAAAAGGTTTTTCATTTGAATTTTTATAAACTTTCCTAAAGCCTTTTTTTTTTAATTGAAATGAATAGGGGAGGCCACTTACTTTCTCTCAGGAATGTACAGTCGTTATTCAAAAATTTAATTAATTTTATTCATTAAAATATTAATTTTTACATATATTATAAACTTAATAAAATCCACGACTACATTATAAATCTTTTTGGATACTTTAAATTTTATTAAAAAATTCACTAAAAGTATTTATATTTTTCCATTTACAAAAAGTCAAAAACTTTCCATGTTTTACTAATTTAAAATTAAAATATACTTGCAAACTTTTTGAAATAATTACTTTTCCTTTCCTAAAAAAGTTTTGTCTTTGTAACTTTAATTAATGACTATTTTTCTTTCTTTTTCGCTATTTTTTTTTTATATTTTAATTTTAAAGGAATAAATTATTTGTTGTTAGGCGCGCTCAAAAAAAAAAAAAAAATCTATCAGTTTTCAATTGCTTACGATTATTATTCATTAAAAATCTGTCTGAACGATAATAAATTTTTTTACTTGTTTCCGAAATTATAGGATTTTTTTTCTTCTTTCAAAGAAAAAAAAGATAAACACAGGATTTCCTGATTTTTAAAGATTTGGCTATTATAAAATAAAATAAAAACAATTTCCCAATAAAAGTGTTTTTTTTTTTTAATTAATCGTCGAATTAATAATCGAACTGATGTCTTAAGTAAAAATAAAAAAATAAAATGAAGAATCAGTTATCTACGTATTTTAAGTTTAATTATTTCAGAAAGATACAAAATAATGTGAAATTTTTTAACGAAATAAATATTTTTTTCTAAATTATTATCATTTTTATTAATAATATCATTTTTCCTTTCTTTCGTGATCGACTTAAAAATAAATGAGATTTTCCTGAAAGTTTATTATTTTAATAGAAAAAAAAACGCAAAATAAAAAATAAATTATTTTTAAATAATAAAATGTTTTTCTTTTACAGATTTAATATTTTTCAGGAAATTAATTAATTAATATTACACATTTATTTATTTAAAATTAATTTTCAATTTCCATTTTTTTTATATGCTTTTTTGTTTAAAATCATGATTCTCTTCTTATTTTAAAAAGTAAATTTCATTATCACACATGTTTAGTTTTTTTAGTTTATGTGCAATTAATAATTAAAAAAAATATTTCATTTTCAGAACAAATAATAACTCTACCAATTATTTCTTTCTTTTTCATACAGACACTGATATATCGGCAATTTTATGATCTTGTGTAAAAAAAAATTATAAATGACTACATGTTTTGTTTCTTTCTTTTTCGTAGTATGGCATAAAAAAAAAACAATTATGGTGAGTGGCGTGACGAACGAATAAAAATATATATATGTACAATAATATCTATTAATTAGCAAATCGAGTAAATAAAAACAAAAAGAAACATGACAACATAGAAACATGAAATAAGTTTTAAAAATAATTAATCCTACCTGGGAGATTTGTTCGTGCGCAAAGGCTATCGGTGATCGACAACATGCAAGAGTCGAGCAACAAGAAACGGAGATGTTGCGTACAACGAATTTATGATGAAACACACAACACAGTAAAAAAGAAAAATCCCATTCGGAGTAATGCGATTAGTTTACACTTACATCCAAGGGACAGAACTCATGTCTGAAAATATCAGGCGATACGGAAGCAAAATTAGTTCAATCATGGGTGTTAGCCATACAGGGGACATCACTCACACATTCCTTAAAAAATATCTATTAGTGATAGTAAAGCTAAAAGGCGCCTTGCCATTGTATAATAGTCAGCAAGCAATTCCCACAGGTCAATATCACTAGGTGCCACATTTTTTTTTAATGTCAGGGCGTAGATGATCATGGTTTTTCACAGATTCGTTTTCTTATTATATGAATGTTTATGACTTGTTGGTAAAGATAGTGGAGTGGGTTGCCTTCTCCACAGTTATGAATTATTTTTTTATGCTAGGCAGTAAAGCTGCTAAGACACAAGGGGTTACAGGGTATGGAAGAATTAGGAGCAGAAACATTAAGGAGCAGGAAGAGGAAAGAGTAATCAGGAGGACAGTAGATTGCAACTGACATTGCATTTAAATTTTTGCAGATTAAAGTTGGCTGGAAAGCATGGAGCCTAAAAGAAAGTGCCACAACCAAGAATTGCAAGAAAAAGAAAATGTTAACATAGAATTTATGGTTACATTTAGCTATATATAAATTGATGATATCTTGACACCAGTCTAGTACTGCACTTAAGTTAAAAAAAATCTAGGCATCATAGTGAAAAGTTCATCTGAACAATTACAGAGAGGTAACCTTACAGCAGTGGGAAAGTGACTGAAGCTGAGCTACCATATCATGACCAATAATATTGCTGATTCTTCTTTGGATTTTATCAACGATCTTAAGGTAAATAGCAGTGGCTATTTATAAAATTTACAACGTTCTTTCTCTTAGACTGACTGCTACCCAAGATGAAAGACCCCAATTTGCCGTCTTTATTTAATTCATAGCTGGAGTAGGAGAAAAAATGGATTAATGCATTTCCCAAGGGCTTTAATGAAAAAGTATTCCATATTTTAAGATAAACTTATTAATTATATTTCAGCCAACCTATTCTATGGCCAGTAACATGCAGAAGTTTGGCAATGCTTGGGGCCAACTCCTTGATTGTATACCTCTATGACTCATGTCATAGGGCCTATTACTGTGAAACGTGAGAAATGAAGAAGTTTTAAATATGTAAAAACAGATGAAACATGAAATAGATACTTTATTCAAATCAAATATAAACTATATTTTTATTTCACTCTTTGATTAGATGACCTCCAAATAAGGATGCTCAGGGCTGTCACACCCACTGCCCTCCTTCTACATGTTACTGTTTATAGCCTCCTTTATATGCACTATCACAATGGGAAGAAAAAGCTACTATCTTTAGTAGGGCAAGACAAAAAAGGTTAGCAAACATAATGTTTAAATGTATGCAAGATTGCTTCTAAAATAATTTATTCTGTTTTTAGCAATGTGCACAACACAATATGATCTATAATTTTTAACAAAGAGATGTTCTCATTTCTTTGTCAAACAAAAACCCATGTCAAACAGCAAAAACCATACCATGTTAAAATGTACAGTAGTGTTGCAGGTGGTATATTAGGCCACAAAAAGATATTGAATCACAGAAGACAACAACAAAGAAAACAAAGGCTTAAGTAAAAAAAATATATTGCAAAGTTTATTTTTATTAAAGAAAATACATCAACAAAAAACAGTTACAGTGTACTAGACAAAAAGTATTGGTTTGGCTTAATTTGGTTTGTTTTACAGCATATCAACCTCAAGGGGTTATTTAATGCCGACAAATTTTTACTGCTGATATTTTGTTTTGTCAAAAATCTATTTCTGGTAATATTTTTTCTTCAAAAATGTATTGTTGATAATTTTTTCTTTCAAAAATGTATTACTAGTAATATTTATTTTTTTTAAAATATTGTTGGTAATATTTTTTTTTCAAAAATGTATTGCTGGTAATAGTTATTTTTTTCTTCAAAAATTTATTGCTGGTATTAAAACCTATTTTTACACTTTCATAGTGTTTTTACCCCAGTTTCAGGGTTAACTATTTGCCCATAGCTGAAACCCTAACAGGTGCTACCACCCTGTGTCAGTGCGGACCTGGGAACACCAGCAATTAAGAGTTGGATCCATGCTCCTCAAAACCTCCTGATCAGAGGCCTTGCTGCTGGATGTAGTTTATCATCTTACCCAGGACGTGGATGTAGTTTATCATCATACCCAGGATAGACAAAAAATATCTCAGCATGCTCATGTAGAGGGTGAAAAGAGTGTTGTCCTAAAAAGTCGTTGCAACAAAGTCATACTTCAAAATCACATCATTACCCACAAGTGAATGTCCTCACTGAAAAATGGTGAAAACCATAAAAATCATTCTACTGAAATGTGGGAACCCATTGTTTGAACTCTTACTCTACCATAGCATGCCAGGTCATGATGGATCATCACCCACAGAAATTCTGATGGGGTGAAAGCTAAGAAGCAAACTACCCACAACAAATAAACAAAAAAAGAGCATCAAGTGAAAGGTAATGGTTCAAGTAAGTGCCAGACAAAAATATTACTTCAACCAATGGGGACTTCTGAAAATATTAAATCCAGAGGAGGCAATTTGAATCTGAGACCCTGTGCATAACAGGTGGAATGAATCAGGTATAGTACAAGCAGGAGTATCACTCAGATCAGTCTCAAACAGGAGTCACCCTTCGACAGAACAGAAAGGACTTACTAAAAATATTAAACGTCATTCAAATGAAGACTCCTCATGCTTTCCACCACCACCAGACACGGAAGACATTGATTAAAAATCAAAATCAGCAAGTATGGTCTAAACCAGTATCAGCACACTTAGGTGGACAAACTCCAAAATATCACTAGAGCAACAAAGCTTAATATCAACAAAAACCAGAAACAGCCTGTCAAACTTGCAATATTCAAGTTGTAATCTTCAAGAGCTCCCGTCTTGACCATGCAGTCAGACATTAAGGAACATTACCATTTCATGCAAGTACAAACTCTAAAATCTCTTCTGAACTCTTAGCAACTTTACCAATCCACAATTCCTAACATGCTAAAGGAACTTTATTCTTCTAAACTACAGTCTAATAATTACTTTCACTTTATGAGCTCAAGTACAAATATTTCCAAATCTAAGAGACATAACTCTTTCACACCTTCAGCTTATATGCTTGTACACCAAACACTAATAAATTCAGTTGTTATGTTTTGAAATCATTACATTCTGTTTTGTATTTTATACTATGTGCTATTTATGTCAAATATAAATTGCATTGCGTCCACACATTGTCCTTAATCCCACCTTTCCTAGCCAAAGTTAAATGTATGTAGTACACACCCTTACATAATGGTGACAAAGTCATAAGTTAAAACTATTGAACAGGTTAGACTTATAAACCACTCAGTGAATAAGTGAACTGTCATTTTTCTCTACAAGAACTCTGTTTGTTTCCACGTATGTTACTACACATATATGTGTTGGAGTTAGCTCCTCCTTAATTCCCTAATTGTCACTAGGGGTCATTCTCCCTATACTATAAATACTGGGTGACTTCTCGCTTCATTCTCTTTTTCATTTCTTCATTTCAACAACTACAATGTAAGCTCTTTTAGAAGATCCATGTCTTCCCATTTGTGGAAGACGCCATGAACATTATACACACATACACATACGTACAAATATTCACCAAAGAACAAATGTTCACACACTCACAAATGTTATTGTCTATGTCCATTGTAAAATTGTGTTGTTTAATACATATATTTGTTTATATATATATCGGAGTCTCCTTTTATTTAATAAAATTCTTTGCAAGTCTCGATCAAGACCTTTTAGTGTGTTAAACCCCTTTGCTTTCCTTATTTGCCACTCAGAATTTTTTCAACAGTTGAATTTGTCAGGAAGAAGGTAAATTCTGACAGTACTGTCATATTCAGGATGAAAATGTAGCATGTGCACAGAAATTAGTAACCAGAGTTATATCCCTTGATATAACTAGTCTATGACATGGTGTGAAATAAAAAAAATGAGTTCACTGTGAGACACAGACACTGTACATGCTATAGGTGAACTAGGGATAAACAACTGTTAAACAAATCAATTTGTACATTATTTATTCTGAAAGTTCTCCACTGCCTTAACCAGGTATTGAACTTTGGGTCCTGTCACTGGATCTAACCAATGCCTTTATCCACTGTGCCATGTGTCCTTGATGACATCTGGGCATGAATTTTTGGGTATTATAAACCTAATGTCTTGGAACCATTGGAAAATTCATAAACTTAAGGAATCAGAACATATGCTAGGCCACAAAAATCTCCTGAATCGACCAAGCATAGAAAAAAACACAATAGGGGAACCATAATAACCAGTAATAAGGAGTGCCAGAGAAAAGCAATGATAACAGCAAAATTGCAATATGAGCACTGGTAAAAATGGTTAAGGCAGTGGAGAACTTTCAGAGGGAAATTAGCAGGAGATAACTGATAACTGACATCCATCAAACATGGCACATGGAACTAGAACAGTCTACCCTAGTGAGCGAAATAAAGGGTTCAGTTCGAAATTCCAACCACCTGAAGAAGACCTGAGCATACAACGGCCGAAACGTTGAGATAAATATGGCAACAAAGATGAGGACAATAGTCCGAATAATCTACATAATACCTCATCTCAAATATAGACAAATCAATTTGTCTTTCATACTGAAACACCCTTTTGAATACAAAATTAATAATTAATACTAAAGCTGGTAAAAGAAGGTTTATTATTCCACTGCACTTATGGTGGAAGTTTGTGAAACAGCAACAAATGAATGAAAAAGTACTCAAAATGCTTTAACCCAAATATATCCTGATTTAAAGTATGAAAATAAATTATTACTTCTTTACATTAAAAGAGAAATTTCACAGACACTG